AGGCGAGTGGCCATAATTCTGTCGGCAGATAAAGCTATTACCGCCATGCCGGATAAGTGCGCAACCGGCGCAGGACGCTCGCGCTCCAAGCGGCGCTGTCCCCGTTAGATTAGAATTTAAATCCGGTGGCAGGACCCAACCCACCACCACCCACTGAACCACCCACCCGGCAACCCTGCTCTCGCAAGAGAGCGAGAAAAAGAAACGCGAGTTGCTAGGCCATTAAGGATATCACCCCGAATGGCCGGGAACTCCGGTTTCAGCCGTTTCAGGCGGGTGGTTTTGCTCCTTTTGCTCCCTTTGCTCCTTGTGCTCCTTGTTTTTCTTGCTCCCCGTTTCCTGGACAGCGCAGCTTAATACAAACATTGAATAAATCTCATTGCGGCGTTTATTTTAATTTCTACGTAAACATAAACTACGAGCGCCATGGGAGCGGTCGTCCTTTTCGCGGAATGGTGATTCCACGCAGCAGGATACGGAGAAAGGACACCGGGAAACCAGTTGGCTCGCTGGAATTTATGCCATTATGTATTCCAATTTACAAGGCATTCGCAATTTCTCATTACAATGTGAAAATATATAAATTTCATTTAAATATACCTTTTAATTAAACCTTTATCGGGAAAGGCTTTACATTAATATATTAATAAATTGTAATTTTTATTCATTTTAAATTGTGAAACAGTAAGCTGTAGGTCTTATGTAATAATTTAATAGTTAGTTAAATCCAGGAAATATTAATAAAAAACAGAATGTTATAATCTTTTCTAAGATTATGCATAATAATTCGAATAAGCCTCCAATTTATTATAACGAATTATTCATAAAAATAAATCAGATAATTTCAGATCCCATTTTGAGTACCAATTGCATTACGTATTATGCATTATATTTGTTTCGTGACATTGCCCTCGAGGAATCGATTCGGGGCATTTGCATGCATAATGGCCAATTAATATTTACCAACTGGATGCCGGCGATTGGGACACCGACACTCCGAGCACGTTCGACGGCCTCTTCGTACCCAATTGCAATGTTACCCTAATGAACTGCCGCCACTCGAGGAAACGGAGATACCGTGTTCCCAGAAGGGAGGAGGGTGGCTGAAATCAGCAACTTAATGTTGCATTTTATCGCCAAGACGCCACGGCTGCCTCACCTTGCCGCAGATGAGGCCGGGTTTCTACCCCTCGAACGGCAGAACGAATTCGGCAGCATGTTTGTATAAATTTTTTATAGGTAATACACTTAAGGAAACGACACTTAGAGTCATCATTACAAGCGCTTCGGCTGCAATAACAGGCCATCTTGCACATAGTTTTCGCAATTTACTTGATCCCCGGCGTGCGGCGGGACCCACGGAGGGTTGGCTAACTGCTCCTGGCAACTGCTGGCCTCAAGTGCCCAAAGGCAGTCGATTAGCCATTTTAGGCTAACTTCGGCCGCCGATGCCGTTTTCATCATCCGCTATTGGCCATTAAGGACACCGGTGGCAGGTTACGAGCTCACTGCAAAATATGCCCGAGTTTTAATCTTTAAGAACCGGGGAAAATCCTATCACGCAGACAAAGATGTCCAGACGGAGTCTCCCTCCCCTCGAATCGCTTCTAATAATGCAATTGATTCTTGATTTGCACTCCCCATTTCGAAATTGGAAATGGGTGGAAGAGGCGGGCGAACAGCCGCGAGGGCAACGTGCGCATTCCATAAATCCCCGCTTCATTTTCGCTACATTAAACGTCAAAATATGAACCCATTTGTGAAACATTTTTGCCGCTGCCGAGCGTCCAGAATGCCACTACCCATTATAACTACAAAAACAAGGGCGACGGCGGCAGCAACAACAGCCAGCAACTCCCTCGCGGACCGAGCCATATTACGGCAATAACGAGACGGACAAAAGGAAAACTACGGAGCGCTGGAAAGGTCCGCGGATGGAAAGGAAGCCATCCGAGGTGGTCGACCATTGAGTGGGCTTTGTATTGAAGGAGGAATGCTATATCTGCCTTTGAAAGTATTGATTTTAGCGGGCGTGTGAACAGTTTAGTAAATGAAAACATTGCCGTTCAATATGTTTTTCTAATGACAAACTTGCTAAATAATGCTAAACTGCAAAACCTTAAATTATTCAATCAATAACTACCTCTCAAAGAAAGGGGAATAATTCAAAAATGTTCGCTTACAAAATTATTATTGAAATCTAATCAAATTGTTTGTTTATTATTTTACACTAGGGATATTTTATAAATTGTATGCTAGACTTAAAGTATAAACTTATAAGATAAACAACTTATTTTATTCTTTATAAATTGTTTAAAGATACGCATTTGAATGTATGGTATTAATGTTTAAAAACCAGTTCTGTTTTACTTAAAATTAACATTATTTTAGTTTAAATATTTTATAGTTCTTAGGTTATTGAAACTAAGCCTCTGACTGAGTCCGACTTTTTTTTTGCAAATGCGAGAGTGAAGGATTTGAGATGAGATTTTGTTTGGAGGTTCGCTTTTCAATATCAAATTCAAATATTATATTTAAAATGATTAAAATATATTTCCTAGGCGAGAGAACTTTATTTTGTGCACATAACATTAAATTCCAAATTTCTTCGAAATTCTTAAGGAAAGGCAAACTTTAAAGAAAAACTTTCGATCAAAGAGGTCGGGAAAATATGCAAAGAAGAGGCTGTGCTACAAGCATTTTCATCTTCTTATTCATGAATTTCCGGCGGAACGAGTCCGCCGAGTGTCATTCCCGCCGCTGTCCTCCATCGGATGGGAAAATGGAAGGGAAAATCGAGGGGCGGAATCGAAATCGAGTCGATGAGATGCGCACGTTCCTGAAAAAAAACACAGCACAAAAACAGCAACAATGGCAACTCATATGAGGCATGCAGCAAGAGTCTCCCGGGGCTTTGACTCCCGCTGCAATTACGAGTATTTTTTAACTGCTTATTGCGTTTTCCCCCTCCCCCTTTCCCCTCCCCCCTTTCGGTCCAATCCCCTGGCAGTGGCAGCCATTCCAGCCAGGATATGAGTGCCAGCAACAAGCAAACAAGGACCAACAACTGAATTTCATTCGATTTCAATGCGAAAGGGGATCTCGAGAGCTCGCCAATAAAAATTAACGATACACGCATACCCAGTTCACAAAATGTCGGGCCAAAGTATCTTTTATTTTCTCTGTTTTTTGTGGGTGGTTCGAAATTTCAATTTCGGTGAAAACAAAATTGCGCTGCCAAAAGGTTTGCTTACGCATGTATATTTAAAATATACAATACATAAAGTTCGGAGCTTTAAAGGAACCTGAATTCTAGTATCTAAATAATAATAATACTACTCTTAAAATCCTTATAAAAACAATATTTATTTTGTAGATATTCCATAAAATTTTAGAACCAGAATTACGATTTATCGTACTTTTGGAAACCCCCTAACGAAAACCATATGAGCATCCCGTTTATAACGAGTTTCCCACCACACCAGCTCCCTTTACCCGCAATCACAACATCATTAAAAATCGCTGCTTCACTTTTCTCAATTAACCACTAGAGCATCGTAATTCTGCGACTAAAATCTAATTTAGTTCGATGGGAAACGTTCCATAAGGAAAAGGAAGGTGCCTTCCCCCGAAAATTCGCACACCAAGCGAACCCACAGCAGCCGAAGAGGTCGTAACAATATTTTCACGTTCTTCCCAAGTCCGGAATGAGTTTTTGAAATTTATTTCGGGTTCTGGGGGAAGGATACACCAAAACCCAACAGGCAACCAACAGGCGAGTGCCATTATTTTGATACTCAGGGCTATTAACGTTAATTTTCGTTAGTTACGTAATACGTATTCGAAAGCACCTTACGCCCACACACACACACACATAGGGTATATATGTATACACACATATATCGAGTTCCATTACGGAAAATCTCCCTCCCCTTTGCGACTTTTTCTCGGGGGTAAAACCGGCAGTTCCACCATGCGTGTACATGCGATATGTGGAACTGCTTAACCCCACAACGCCCAACTGTGCTCCCAACCACCCCCGCAGCCCCCTCCCCCTCCGCACCACCTGCTCCTCCGCTTTTCCCGGCTTTTCCTGCCATTTCCCGGGTGTCTCAGTTTGTCCGGAGGCCGCTGGCATTAAGGAGATTTACGAGTACATGATTTTGCATGTTCGGTGCCCCCGATGCCATTTAGATTCGCTTAGGTACATTTTCATCCTGGCACCCACACACATGCTAACCCCCCTGCCACACCCCCTCACACTCACACACACACACAGAAACGGGTACGTGTGAGTATTTGTATTTGCGTACGCATTTAATGGCCCATTAGTGCTATCAAATACGCATAAATATCTGCACTTTGCCAGAAGTACAACCGTACAGAGAGATACCCGTACAAATTCAAAACACCGCTCCGGATGCGAAATCTCCGGAATAAAGTACCCCAAGCTCCGGACTCCGGACTCCGGACTGCGAGCTCTGGAAAATGTGCATGTGTGGCGGGAGCACACAAATATTTGCAGATGCCAGTTTATTGCCAACTCGGCGTCCCTTTCCGGATTATTTCGATGGAGCGGGGGATTTGGAAATGCAATATTGTAAATCGCTGGTCCACAACCACCTCCTTCCCTTCCTTTGGGCCTCGTCTATTTCTGCCGGCTATAACATAATGAGGTTGTATAATTACTGGGCGTACATATTAGTGAGTTTAATGTGCGGGTAATGCCATCGAACGCACTTTGGATATTCAGCACTTGTTATAAAAGAATATATAAAAGTATTGTATCAAGAAAAAAAAAATATAAGTATCAAAAAAAGAATGTCAAAAAAGTTCGGTACTTCTAATAGATATTAACATTTTAACTTTGAATTGAATCAAACAGATTTAATTAAAATTAATGAAAGAAGTAAATCTCCTTATAAAGTAAATCAAAGTAGGTAGTAAAAAATTTGAAAATGCTTAAATTTTTTTAAGGAACATCATGAATTCTTAAAAATTGTTTCCTATCTTAAATCAAAATAGTTTAATTCAAAATTTGACATCTGGGGCCCCAAAAACATATCACACTGGAACATATATTTTTTTGTTCTTTAATTTAGGTACTAAAAACCGCGGAGTGATGGCTGGGGGGAAAAAGGCACCAGAACCAGAGCCAGTGCCAGCTGAACCAGAGCCCACAGGATCGAGATGGAAAAAACAGAAACCCCCCGAACCACCACCTGAACCAGAGCCACCACAACCCACAGGATCGAGGGAAAAAAACAGAAAGTCCCCGAACCACCGCCTGAACCTGAGCCACCGCAACCCACAGGATCGAGGGGGAAAAAACCCCCCCGAACCGCCACCAGCACTCCCGATTGCAAAGCACCAGAAAAAGCAGAAGACTCGCAATTGCGGCCTCTACAAGGCGACCTTCTACAGCAACATAGGATCCTTCCTCTTCGGGATCGCAGTGGGTTGGACAGCAGCGACGGAGAAGTCGGTTATGGACCGGAGCTTCTACAAGTTTCACACTTCTCCGGGCGAGTGGAGTGCGGTCTGCAATATGCTGACCCTCGGAGCGGCGCTCTGGTGCATTCCCGTGGGCCTGATGGCCAGGAGCTGCGGCTGCAAGCGCACCATCCTCATCCAGGCGGTGCCCAACACCCTCGGCTGGTTCATCATCGTCTTCGCGCAGAGCGTAACCATGCTGTACCTGGGCCGCTTCATCCTGGGGATGTGCGGGGGAGCCCACTCCGTGGTGGTGCCCATCTACCTGGCCGAGATCAGCACCGCCAAGAAACGCGGCGCCATGGTGGTGCTCTATCAGGGCGCCTGCATCTGCGGCGTCTTCTACAGCTTCGCCATGTCGGTCTTCGTGGAGATGTGGATCTTCCACGTTGTGACTTTGGCACTGCTCCCCCTGCTGTTCCTGCAGATTCTCATGCCGGAGACACCGGGCTACTACGTGGACAGGGGCAAAATTGGTGAGGCGGAGGAGACGCTCCGCTGGCTGCGGGGCAAGAAGTACAACCCGCGGAGGGAGATCGACCACCTGGCGGGGCACGAAACCTACAGTGAACAGGACGCGCGGCAAGGACCGCTGCGAGGCTTCAAGTTCAAGAAGATACGAAGGAGTCTCGCGCGGTGCTTGGCGCTCGCCGTGTTCCAGAAGCTCTGTGGCGCCCTCATCTTTATATTCTTTGGCCAACAGTTGATGAACTGCCTCCGGATCCATCACATTTACTTATCCGTTGTCTGCCTGGCGGTGGCCCTTGGTTGCCTCGCCTGCTTTCTCCTCGTGGATCGCCTGGGTCGCCGGCCACTGCTCATATTGTCCACGGTGGTGATCTTCTTCGTGTCCGCCTTCCTGGGACTGTACTTCAAGATCTGGATGTCCTCGGACTTCCCCGTGCTCTCCTGGACCGCCCTCGTCTGCATCGCGCTCTTCATGGGCGCCCACATGGTGGGTTTGGGCACGCTCTTCTGGGTCCTGAATGTGGAGCTCATTGTGCGGTACATGCGACCGGTGGGCTGCTCCCTCATCCTCACCTGCAACTGGCTGACCGCCGTGTTCGTCCTCTGCTGGTACTCCGGCCACGAGATGAAGTGCCAGCCGTACCTCTTCATGCTCTTCGCCATCATCGCCCTGATGAGCCTGCTCTTCTGCATGGTCTACATCCCCGAAACCAAGCTACTCTCGTCGGAGAAGATCCAGGAACGGCTGGGTGGCATCATGAACCGTCCCACGGCCGTCACCTTCACGTCCAGCAGCGACACCTCATTGTGATCTCAAATAAATTCAAGTGTTACATAAAGGTTATTAAGTAAATGGGCCATGTGTTTTAGCTTTTATAAAATAATTAAAAAGGTAATGTAGCATTAAAGTGAGAATATTCCAAAGTGTGATACCAAAGTTAAAACAAAGGAATATTACTCACAGTACTTCAATTATGGCTTACTTTTAATAAAACAAGAAAAAGGTAAAGTTGCATTTAAGTGGGAAGTATTTTAATTTATTAGAAACTTCAAATTTAAGGCTTCGCTTATTTTTCTTCAAGCTAAAAGTGCAACTTTGTAATCTCAGTTGTTATTTACAATGTCTTCCCAACTAAATCATTACTAAAACCCATTCAGAAAATTTTATTCAATGAACCTGCTTGAATAAAACGGCAGTGCTTCCTCGCTTCCTTGAAACTACAATGTCTCAAGCATTATTAAGCATTTATTTATGCAACTTGTGTGGCGACATTTTCTGTTTTTGCGCACTTTTCCTTGCTCGCGTAATTAAAAGTTATGTTTTACACTGTAAATTCATTGGCGGTGCTGGCACATTTATGAATTTATGCGCTGTGTGCGCTGAAAGTTGCGCTGAACGAACACACAAGCCGGGGAATCGGGTTCCACTGGTATTCTGGTACGAGTATAAATATTAATTTGCATTTTGTCACATGATTTAGGCGGCAGTAAAGTCCAATTAATGAGGCACTGCAAGTGGGGGTCTCATTGAGATAAATGGTTAAGAAGGCGAACTCGATGGTCGCCATTACTTTGCCTCGATCATTGGGAACTCGAATTCGAATCGGAATTGTAAGTATGCCGATTCACAGTGGTGCTCTGCGATCATCTCGATTTATCTATCCGCAATTAATTGAATTCAACCCCGATAACCGATTTCCCCAGCACCTCACCTGTCCACCAGATATATATTTATATATATATTTGTATTTACCTTCCCACGAGCGACGCATGCAAATCGGGGTTGACATTTTGCGGCAAATATACGAGGCACCGTAAAAATAGTTTACGACTTTTAATTACGGACACAGCGTGCGGTCTTTGGACAGAAGCGGGGAATGAGGAGTTGGGGGAAATCGGGGAAAAATATATAATGGCTGAGCCTTCTGGCCTTTGTCTTTCCCGGACTTCTTCCTGGCTAATTTATTGGGGTTTTAAGCCACCATTTTGGCTGGTCGCCTTTGTAATTCCCCTGAATTATATCTCAATTCATTCCCCCCAATAAATTTGATAAATTTCTCATTTTGCTTACCTGCCCGCTGGGATCTTCCGATCTCGGATCCCCGATCTCGGATCTTGGATCGTAAATTAATGGAGGACTCCGCCATATGCTCGCAGGCCCACAGGCTGATTAAAATGTTCGGCTCGGCGCGTCTTGGGTTTCTCGGCCGTTAATTATGCACTTCTCGGGGAAATTTAAATGTATAATTTCTTTAAGTGAAATGGAAAATTAATTATTCGGGAGTGCGCTTCGAACGGGAAGAACAAAGGCAGTTCGAATTGAATTGTAATGAGCTGCATTCGCTAATTAAAATGACATTTCAGCTTTTGTCAGCGAATTTGGAGGCAAACTTGAAACATTTCCCATAATAAAGTTAAGAGGCGCATTTAATTGTTCAAGATTAATTTAATGAACTTATACGTTTGTGCTTAATAATATAACTTTTTATTAAATGAATAGTAAAATTTTTTGTTCTGGAGATACTATGAATAAATGTTTATAGAGTGAAAATGAGTTAACACAATAAGATCCGAACATATTTTTTTATATGCGCTTTCGTACTAATTGCTTTGGACTTATTATCATCTGTTGAAAACATAAATTTTTATGAAAATCAGTAAATAAATTCCCCTTTTAAAATATTTCAAATTAATATTCAGCAACTAATGATACATCAGTGGTTTTTTATCTTCGTCATTCGGCTAACCCCCTTTAAAAAGACCGCTTTTTATCTGCGCATTGAAGTGCTCATATGTGAATGTATAAATCCCCATCTGATAAACCCTGAAATACACTCAATTTGTGTGCGGACCGACTTCATTTCGCCTTGAGACGCTGGCCAAAAGGAAAATCGTGGAGGGGGCCAAGAACAAAAAATAAAAGAAGCCAACAAGAAGCTGCCAGCAAGAAGCGCATGTGCATAACCGCCCATTTGCGTGGGAGTCCTCGCTTTTCCTTGGCTGTGCTCCTGCGAAAAGGATGGCTAGATGGCTGGATGGTTGGATGGCTGGATGTTTGGAGTCCACAGCCAACGAAGGTGAAACCGGAGTCCAAATCCACGAACGGGGCTCCAAGTCGTCGTATTGATTTTAGTGGCGCATTTACGCGCGATTATCGTTTAGTCGGCGATGCCCGAAGTATTACGAGAATTGTTATGGCCACCGAAATGGCTCCAAACGATGCTCCCAGCAATTGGCAGGACCGAGTCTGAGACTCAGACTCAGACGACATAGCCATCGCCATCGTCATCGTCATCGTCTTCGGCTTGTGGCCACCAAAGGAGCTCAACCAGGAGCTACACAACGAATGCCGACGGCTGCCTTCTTGGCCAAGTTGGTGGGTGGGAATGAGCTCAGATTGTCAGGCGAAAACCGCTGCTTCTCAGCTTTCTTTTGTTCAGAAGCTGCCGCCGGGCGATTGCTAATTTCTTGTTGAACCACAAATATTTAAATTAAATGAGAGAAAAGATTACAACTTAACTTTAATTACGTGTTTTGCTAGGCCAATATTAGACATCAGGCTGGGATAACAAATGCTTTAATTTTTGCTAGAAATTTATTTCTAATTAAAGTAATTTAAAGTTTTGTTTATGATTATTTTTTAAGCAGCTTTAAAATATTTTCTCAATTGATTTTTTAAGTTTGTAAACTAAGCTAAGGAGAAATGGAAAACTATGTAATAAAACATTAGTATTTAAAAAATGTTGAGCTTTGAATGAAGCAGTAATACGTACAACTCTCATTACTTACAAAAATTGTTTATAAATATATAATAATAATGGAATATAGTTCGTTCTTATAAATGTTATGTCCAATATAGAAAATTAAGGATAAAAGGATTAAGATGTGAGACTCAATCTCAATTTGTATATAACTTGTGAAGAGTTTGCTCAATCTTATCACGAACGATTTCTACAGTTTTAATCGATCGATTCTGCGAATTTGGAAGCCCGAAGAAAAGCGACCCAAGGTAAAATGGGTGAACCGAAGCTGCTCGAAAGGATGCATGAAAATTGCTTTCATATTTCAGGTGATAATGGTTTCCTTATGTGAATTTACAAAACATTAAAGCTCCTGCTGCTGTGCACGGGGTATACATAATTTGGCCAAAAAGCAATTCACGTTAATGGCGCAAAATCCCAAAAGGATAAGGCGGCGAAAAAGTGTTCACCCCCACCTCCCCCTCAATGATTCTCCCTTTCTTTTTTTTCGCCGCTTCCAGCGAACGGAAATGGCGAAGGGACATCCGAAGATACGGGCAGGATACGCGATTCAGGGGGCGGGACTTGGGACTTGGGCTTCGGGATGGAGGAAGGAGGTTGAAGGATGGAGGATGGAGGATGGAGGACCTTCCCCCGCCATGGCGACGCCAGCTCCTCGTTGTTTATTGTAATGGGCGTTGTACCGGCGCCGCAGGACGAAGGACCCGTCCCCATCCGGCTTTTTGGGAGCCGTGCTCCCTGCCAAGGATGTACGAGGTCGTAAACGAGATTAAGAACGCTGCTGGCAAGCGAAAAAACCGACTAAAGAGCAGTCCAAGCCCAAGCAAGTGGAACCGGGCCAGGTACTTGGTCCTCGCCCCTCGCTCTTTGCTCCTCACTCGGATTCGATTTCCTTGTATTGGTCTTGTGGGAAATGCCAAGAATAATTTCGTGCATCTTTTTACGTTCCACTCCCACAGTCTTGTGTGTTTTTTACACCCAGCCAAGGCACACGAATATCAGGATCTAACCTTCAAGCCAGGACCTTCTACTCTAAATGCACCTCTTACCTGTTCGGTTTTTTGCCGCTCCAAGTGCAAATTTCCAAGCTGATGATAATAACCGTGAAATATGAATTCTGCAAAGGTGCTCTATTCTCTTTTTGCCCTCCTGGCAATTAACCTTGGTCGCATTTTTACTGGCCGCATCCGCTGCGGTGGGTTAATAAGTGCAAAAAACGAGCACCTTGCCAAGGATAACTGCAGATAACAATGGATCGTCCTTGGCTGTCAGATTACCTATTTTAAGTTGGGATATCTGCAACACAAGTGCAGTTAAGGTAAAAGAATACATTACAAAAAATCACAGCTTGCCAAAACAAAGACCGATATTCAAAAAAATGGAACTAACTATTTTCTTGGATAATTATTAAACTAATTTCTTTTGGAAGGAACTATATCTTAAGTCTCTTTCCTAATTTGATTACAAACCTATGAAAAATAAACCTTTAAATTAATTTTCGCAATCTTAACATTACTTTAAACGTTGTGTACCTGTTTTAAAATCCATGCTAATGACAACATCCTGTTGCTTACGAAATACTTTAAGTTTAATCCCTCCATTTGAATGCTTATCTTTCAATATAAAGCATCGTTAAACTAAACACAAAACGCGTTCTGAATTTCCAACGACTTAAAGACACTGAAATTAAGTACGAAGAACTGTAACAGCTGCAAAAAATTAAATGCAAATTAGAAAAACTCTCAAAAAACGCAATCGCATTAGTCTCAGATGTGAGAAATGTGATATAGGAATATATATCCCTTACACCCGGCAGATAGGACAAGTGCTTCTGTGTGTTTCTGTGTGTGTATGTGTGTGTATGTTTGCGAGCGGGCAAAGTAATTTTTCTTGAGACTCCCCGGCAGAAAAAGCAATTTAGTAAGCTGCTGGGCCGAGGTCGAAATGCGGGGAAGGTTGGGGGGAAAGGGAAAGGAGAGGGGGAGGGGGAAGGGAAAGCCGCAGGGGGAGTGCAGGGATATGGAAGAGCAAACCCAATTTCCTTCCCGGCCAAATGGAATCCGCTGGCTACGTGCGCCCCAAGAAGCGCGCG